TTCTTGAAACAGGTTTTGTGCAGAAACTATTAAGATTCCACCCGATACTATCACATATTCATTAATACGGTTCTCACAATAGTACATTTATTGCAACACCCAGCGTGATCCAACTAAAATGAATCAACTTGAGTCTTACTTCGAACTTTGCCTCGGGCTTAATGGATTTAATTCTAAAACAACAAGAAAAGTGTTGCAGAGAGAAAGCTAAGCAGTGAGAACACGTTCCTGAAAACACATATCACACAGTTCAATGGCCCTAAGACCATCAAGTACATCCGCTGACACCTCAACTGTACCACACCTCTATGAATCTCACATCAACTCTAGTAATGAAAAACAGCAGGGAGCTTGCCTCTCGTGGACCCGGCCCCTCTCATCTCCCAAGGTCACGGTGACTGTTCGCGTCCTGTTCAGGCTGAAGTTCTTGCTGTAGTAGTGATAGTCTGGTGAGACCCAGCCCACCCACACTGAAGCAGGGTCCTGTCCAGCAAACACCCTCACTGAGTGGTAGTACTGCCATTAAGAAAAGAAGCAATAGGTACAATAGGTTACTCTTGTTGAGCTGAGAACATGTTTTCATGTGTATCTCTCAAATGTAAGTTTGATTTACAGTTGTGATGCTTCTGTAGTCAACAGTTCCGTCTTCTTTTGGAGCGTTGCTGCAGAAACAAAAACACAACGGTAGGTTTTTTACGAGGAACAAAACGTTCTTTTGAAAAACCCATATTCCAGATTTTAAAGGCAGAGCACATAAGGGCCAGGATCAGTGTGACATTGCTACAAGAACAGTATCTGCGGGAGAAACGATTCCCTTCCCCTTAATAATTATATTTGTTCTCGCATCACTCCCGATGCAGCCCTGATCTCTGACCTGAGTTTCAGCGATTCATCCAGCAGCACGGCTGCAGTGTGGAACTCGACCGGCATGCTCAGTCTACAGTAGACCATGTCGCTGTTGCTGTTCTGTGTGCCAAACGTCTTGTGGGTGACCTTGAGGCAGGGAGGACTGTCCACTGTCCCATCGATCCTCGTCACCTGAAGAATTAAATCAGTCGCGAGGGACCGAACCAAAAAGGAGGGAATCAATACACGACACCAATGTGCCCATCAGCCCCAGCAGAACTGTTCACGATGTTTGTTTGCACGCAGAGATTAAACAGAACAATAGTGATGCTACTGTTACCATCTGAAGGCCAAAACACGTCCCCATGGTGTTTTACTTTATGCCTGCTGCACACTAGAGGAATTTTAAATCTCGGGATTTAAAGAAACTATTTCAAGACATTTGGGAACTCACAGAAAAATCGTGTGATCAAATATGACTTCAGAATAAAGACGTCACATTCAGCCTTCATAAAATAATATATGATGATGGAAACACTTACCTCAATATGCATGTGGTCCTGAGGTGTGTTGACAAAGGTGGGCAGGCGCTTGCTGAACCACATGGTGATGTCTCTGTTCATATTGACAGCGAAGGGCTCAAAGCCCTCCTGGAGACCACACATGGTGTAGTACTTGAAAGTGCTGGCGTCCTTGCCCAGGTTCATACGGCCGATCTGAGACATCCCCAGACTGCACACGGGGATGAGACCTGGAGGAGGTGAGGGGCATTCTTGGGTTTACAGGTTCTTCCCAGAATCATGAAACGTAGCTCCGGTGCTGCTCAACAATGATTTATAGAGCAGAATCCATCACAACTCAACTGTGGCCATTTATTTTAATGCCTTCACTTTATTCCTAAGTGACTTAGCTTGTCTCTGAAGGATGGTTCACTTACAGAGTCATGGGCCGATGCCACAATGGACTTCATTAAATCGTTATGCATTTTATACAGATTTTTTTTTTTTTTGACCTCATGCTAACCGCCAAACAAACTCAGCCACACCTCTGGAGACAATGTGGAGGAAACATGCACAGAATAAATTAAAAGATTAACACAAAAGTTCACTGATGTGCAGAGCCCTCACCGTCCTCTGTCTCAAAGTCAGTGAAGCAAAGCTCGGAGCCCTTGTTGGTGATCAGGAGCTCTCCGTTCAGGGTGAAAATCATTGATTTGTCCTCCATGTTGATCATACAACCAACTACGTCGCCCTTTTTCCAAGGCTGTCCAAAGTAGCGGCTGCCTACATGCATACGTCGACCCTTATGGAATAAAAAGAAACAAACTCGGTGTTTGTGCAAAATATACTGAATGATAATCAATGATAATGTGTTTAATGATATATTTTAGTAAATCTGAGGCAGATAGATAAT